TCCCGGTAGTTCCGTTGCAAAACTTTGGAAACGTGCCATTTCTTTTTTTTCTTTTCTTTTTCGGGAAAAGGTAGAGAATCCATTATCGAAGCACAAGACTCTGAGGCCGGGAATACTCAACAAACAACCCGGTGTGGACACAGCCTCAGGCACAGGGCCTAGCTTTGGTTCAACAGATCAGTAGGCAGCTTAGTCTACGCTAGCTGTACTGTTTTCCAGTCAAACCCTCTGCTCTTCCTATCCAGCCTACATTTCAACAGCGATGAACCAGTCCTAACATGGAATGGATACTACTGGAACAAGCCGTTTCAATCCAAATTCCTCAAGTCCGTTACCCAGGTCTAATACGACCTGAACTGCCAGAAGCTATCCACCTGTTTGACACTCCAACCACATTCCATACTCTATTATCCTAACTAGTAAGAAACGGGAGGGGGGGGGTGGGTTGCCCCCAGATGAAACTCCAAAGGAAAGTAATAAGGAAGACCAACCAACCTCAGAAAACCCCAAACCAAGAATAAGCTACCTACTCTTCCACTTATAGCTGCCTGCCTCCTGCGGCAAATCATTACCGAGTGTCCAGGTTGTTAGTTCTGGGCCCTACTTAAGCCAAGAGCAGAATTCCAACTCACATTTTGAATTCACTGTAACAAGCTAATCCCTTTCCCTACACCTTGTCCACTTATATTCTTCTTATTCCAATCTGCCTTGATGTATTGTCTGAGCCTAACACGAATAGCAGACTTTATCTCAACGTCAGAAGTGTCTTTCCTCTGGAAGACTGCTTTGTTCCTATTGTCCCAAATCACTGAGCAGATGATTGCTCTGCATGCTTGAACCACATACCCACAGCCCTCCTTTAATGAAAGATTGTCCGGCAGAATACCCAACAGGACCCACGTGCGGTCCCATTCCCAACGCCAGTCTGAGAAGTCTTTCCAGTGCATTGCCCACCATTCCCAGATTCTCCTAGAATCTGGGCAGTCCCACGATAGGTGGGGAGTGGATTCAAACGGCCATACACAGCTTTTACAGACCAATTGAATATCCATTCCCCTTGCGGCCCACCAAAACGCAGAAGGTGAGACTGCCAAAGATAGAAGCCACAGAATCGCAGCGTGTCTTTGAGACGGTAGTAATTTTAACTGTTCCCACAAGCGATTCATTGCTCCGATTACTCTTTGACCTGTTCCTGGTAAAAGATTCTCCCATCTTGCTGCTGCAACCTCCACTGGGCGTCTGGTAGGAAGTAGGAGGTCCGAAGTAGACTTCATTTGATCTAGTAGCAGCGTGGAGCCATCCTTCCCCAGGCCACGCCATCCCCAAGCCGCTGGGTCCAGATTGCGTTCAGAGATTGGTTGATCAAGCCTCGATACTACAGTATGCCGGTCTACCCTTTCCCAAGACTCCTGTACTCTCACCTGACTCATACTCAGATATCCTAGACTATGATCGCCTTCCTCATTCAGTTTCTGTACCAGCTTGTCTTTCCCATTTGTGGAGGATTCGGGTTCCGTTTGCTGTCTATGCTTCCAGTTTCCAATATTCGGTCTGTGCAGTGGAGTCCTAGGAAATGTACCAAGTACCAGGCGGGTCTACGCTCTCTGGTGCAAGGAGATCTTTCCCAGCCTGGGGGGCTGCAGAAATTAATAGCGCCATCTTCTCACCCACTTGATGGTATCCTACCAGTTTGCCACGTAAAGCCTCCTCGGTTTGCCATTGGCCTGTTATAGAGTCCCATAGGCTTGATCTGATTTTTCTGGTCAGATAAGAATCTATTTGAAGGCACATCCAAACATCCTCTTCTTGATCCAATTCTGCAGCGGGCCTCTATCCGCCCTGGGCTACAGCCAGGGCCTATTCGGCTATTTGCCAGTTCGGCCTGTGGCCGTGGCCTGACCCCACAGGACGTGTACTGTTTCAGTCCAGTCCAGTCCTGCCCGGGACCACTTTTGGCACCAGTCCAGTCCCGTCAGGCCGCTGGGGGTATACCCCAGCTGCAGTCTGTATTTTGTCATTCTTCACTTTTGCACATCTTGGAGTGCGTGCGTGTTGAGTCTGCGTAGGAGTTGCTCTGTCCCTTCCAACTCCATCTCTACTTCCTCCTTAGTCAACCCTTCTTCTCCATCCCGGCGGACTGCCATCCCGGCAGGTCGGGCACACTGGTATCAAAGCGAGAATGATCCCCGCTCTAACCCGCCCACGCTTCCGTAACAGGGAGAAATCAGTGTAATCCCAGTAGCGGGATTTTCAAAGTTTCGCACGGTGAGAACAGCGAAATCACGATAAAAAACAGCAAGAAAACGGCAGCGTGAACAGGCGGATACGTGGCGAAAAAGGGAGTTGTCACGATGACGCATGCGCACAAGTGGCAAGGCAAAGGCCTTGCTGCCTTGCTGCTCTGCCCCGCCCCGCTCCCGGATTATAATTATCAAGATACGGGATGTTGCAGCTGCCAGGGTTTGAACCTGGGCAGTTGCTGCTCATGTGTGTGCATGGCCAGTGCGTTAACACACTGGCCAAAGCCACAATATCAACTGATATTGTAGCTTGCTGCTGTTGAAGAGATGGCACAACAGCTATTTGCCC